ATCTGGCCGCATATAAATGAGAAGGAAAAAAGGATGATGTAGACTTTGAAACTAAAAGTAATTATTATACTGTTTCCCCTTCTTATTAACAGTAAAAAAAAAAAAGCATTGATTGTACAAGAACTACCTGTGTTAGTGAATGAAGCTTTTTTCCTTGAACAACTTTTGGAAAATGGATTTGATGTACATAATCAGTTCTACTAACCAAAGCTTTATTTGGAGATTTACTTTTTGTACAAATGGAATTATATAATGCTTTAAATATTTTAAGTCACTTTATAAGCAAAATGTATAGCACTTGTTTATACTGTACACTATGTGTTAAATGCTTTTATCAGTTTAAGAATAAAGATAGTTACTAATGCTGTCGTATTACAATTTTTTAAAAAAAACTACCGTAACATGTGTACTTAATTATTTTAAAACAAATTAAACTTAAAAATGTATGGTTTTATAAATCCATATTTGGTGGATATAATATTTAATATTAAATAATCTTTATAGTAGCATGACTTTTGTGTTAGGCAGATGGAATTGATTCTTGAAATAAGTTCTGGTGCCTCAAGTGACAGGAAATTAAAAATTGACCATGAAATGTAAACTCTTCAAATTTTATAAAGAAAATGGTTAAATTAAAAATAAAGAATAGGTTCTTTCTACATTTAGAATAAGAATTTATAAAACAGGCAATTTAGAAATAGAATTCTTAGTCAGGGTCCTGGAACTCAGCAAGTCTGTTTAGAGAGAAATATCCATATAAATCCATACAATCCGAATAATCTTTATTTAAACTGTTGTAATTATTTTCACCACCTGCCTTCACAGTTTCCGTAAAGTAACTTCAATATCTTAGTAATCTGGTCTATTTTAACAATATCAGAAAAAAAACAGGCATGATTGAAGATTAAATCAATATACTGCATTCAAACAATTTTTGTATTTATAGAAAAGCTTAGGATAAAAGGAAGGGGAGATGAGGAAGGAAACTCTAAGTAACCTTTCCCCCATACCTAACTGGGAACAATCTTTGCATGGAATCCAGCCCCAGGGTAATAGTGAGTTGTTTTTTTTAAGATGAATTTATTGTGTTCTTTATAAAATCACTTTTACATTTATTGTGGTAAACTTTCTAAGATTCTTTCCACAGTATGGACTTACAACTATAATATCACTCAATATTCAGAACTCCTACGCATAAAGAAACCAAGACACGAAAATTTGGGTAGTCTATAATTCCTTTTAAGAATTGAAGTATCAGTTCAATGTAAAATAAAATGATGAGATAAGGATTATATAACTAACTCTGGGGCCTTTTTTTTTTCTTTTTGGAATTTCTAGCCCTTGGTCTGGACTGCATAGACACAAGGCGGAATAGTAATGGGGAAAATAGCACCAGAAAAGTCCATGCTATAGTTCTAGGATATCATCATTTGTAAACAAAGCTTTAGAAGGTTTCAGAATTTCTTTGATTTAGAAAAATAGATCATTGTATTTATTTCTATAAAAATGCCCAGAAGCTATTGCAATAGTTTTAAAAATTGAAGAGGCCTAATGAAAGGCTTTGAAGATGAAGGAAGGGGTCATGAACCAAGGAAAAGCAAGTCTCTGGAATCCAGAAAAGGGAAGGGGAGGAGGAATTCTCTCCTAGAACATCCTGAAGGAATGAAGCCCAGTGAAAGATCATTTTATTTTACTTTTTTTATTACAGTTGACATTCAGTATTATGTTAGTCTCAGGTGCATAGCATAATGATTAGATAATTATGTAGTTGAACTGATAACTCTACTACCCACCTATCACCATACATAGTTATTAGAATATTATTGACTATTTCCTATGCTTTACTTGACATCCCATGTGACTACCATTTGTATTTGTTAATACCTTCACCTTTTTCACCCAACTCCCCACCCGGCAGTTTGATCTCTGTATCTATGAGTCTGTTTCTGTTTTGTTCATTTTTTTTGTTCTTCAGATTCCACATATAAGTGAAATGATAGGGTATTTGTCTTTCTCTGCCTTCACTTAGCATAATACCCATTAGATCCATCAATGTCACAAATGTTAAGATTTCATTCTTTATTATAGCTGAGTCATACTCCATTATACCACCAGTTTTTATCTACTTGTCTATTGATGGACACTTAGTTTGCTTCCATATCCAGCTTATTGTAAATAATGCTGCAGGGAACACAGGTGCGCATACCCTTTCAAATCAGTGTTTTGGAATTCTTCAGATACATACTCAGAAGTGGAATTGCTGGACTGTAAGGTAGTTCTATTTTTAATTTTTTGAGGATCCTCCACACACTTCCATAGTGGCTGCACTGATTTGCAATCTCTGTTGGGCTGGTTTTAATGTTATTGAGCAATCAAAAGTTTTACCCATTTGCTGAACCCCAACTTCCCTTTAAAAAAGGACATGAAACCTTTTTTCTGCAAAGTGAATTAACAGCTTATCTTTAGAATTATCAGTATCAATAAAAGAATATATAATATCATTTTAAATAGGGGAAAGAAAATGTAGAAAGTTTGAGGAATGCAATGGTATTTAGACAATAAAGGGTAAAGATGAGGAAGATGCAGGAAACAACCTTTGGCCAACTATTTGGCTATGGAAAGGGAAAAAACTAGTTTTGGAGTGTTGCTCTTTATATAACATGCCTACAATTTCTTTAAAAAAATCAAGTCATCATCTTAAAGGAGCTACAGTCCGAGAGAATTTATGAAGTGCCACCAGAGCAGATTATAGAACTGGATGAAATTTCCTAATACTTTTTTTTCTGATTTCTAAGGAGCCAGTTGTGATTGAAGGTTCCAAATACCTAAAGTTTATAGTTATTTTCACCTTTTGACAATATTCCTGTACCTACAAAAATGTATTTGATGCCACTTTGTGGGCATACATATCTAATACTGAGCCAGAATTAATGAGTGAGGATATATTTATTGTAAAGCTCTATATAATTCAAACTTCAACAAAATAGTTTCTCTTAGAAACAGAGGAAACTTTGTTAATTTACAACTTAACAGAAAAGTGGCAATCACATTTAAGTTACACAGTAATTCAAAGGTCTGCAAAACTTAGTTGGCAAATTCCTGCCTGTTCATGTTTTGGTTTCCCAAGTCCTATTTTGAAAACATTCTTGAAATCATCTCTCCTCCAAAGCCCTACTTCATCTTGTAAGAGCAGTTGACAGGTTTAGTAAATTCTTTAGAAGTATTACATGAATACAACGCTCTTTATGCTATAGTCACCCATGTCTGTCTTTCACAGAATTTCTTCCTTTTTTAATATTCTTAGGAACAATGAAAAATCTTGAATTTTTTTAAAACATAACTATTAGCCCTGGCTGGTGTGGCTCAGTGGATTGAGCGCCGTCCTGTGAACCAAAGGGTCGCTGGTTGGATTCCAGGTCCGTGCATGTGCCTGGGGTGCTGGCCAGGTCCCCAGCAGGGGGCGCGCAAGAGGGAACCACACACCGATGTTTCTCTCTTCCCTCTAAAACTAAATAAAAAAAATCTTTAAAAAAAAAAAAAAAAACATAACTATTAGAATCTTGCTTTAAAATTCGAGTTTCATGTACAGATGTCCTCGTTTGTCTTTGCTATGGAACCAAGTTCTGTGGTTCACAGTTAACAAACAGCACAGGAATTTTTGTGTTACCCTAGTGCAGTTCTGGAAAACCAAAATAGTGTTTTTGTGGCTCAACTTGCCTAAGAATCCAGTGAAAGTTGGCATTGTCCAATTTTAGCCACTAGATGGAGATAATGCAAAGATTCAAGTCCTCCCTATGTACTTGCCTAAGACTGCAGTAAGCATAAAATAGTGCAGCTTCTCAAGCTATCTGCAGTAAAGGACTGGGTTTTTATTTTCAGTTTATCATATAGTGCCTATAGTTTTGAAAAAAAAATTGGATTCCTGGACAAATGAATAAATGACAAAATATAAGCCCTATTTTTAAAATTAGATTCAACAGGAAATTAAGTTGCTTTAAAAGTCTCTAAATACTTCATCTCCTACAGACCAGTGATGTCTGGTATTAGTAACATACTAATCTGAGGGCCACACTAGTGCTGAAAATGTTGCTTGATAGTGCATCCCATTTAGTTAGTAGGACTTGGTTCAAAATGTGGCTGGCTCTATTACCACTCGCTGGGTAGCTATTGAAAGGTCACTTAAACTTTCCAAGCCCTAATTTACTCATTTGGATCAGATAAATAATATTCTATGCTAAGGCTTTTCATGAGAATTTAATGGTCACGTACTAACCTCTCAGGAAGCACTCAAATCTTAGTATGGACTGAATAATATAATTGGTACATTGAATACTACAGATTTTTTTAAATCTCTGCTTCTTCATCGGACTGGCGTTTTTTCTGAATAGAGACAATGTTCAGTTGGGCTTCAGACACCTGAAGGACCCTGTAGCCTTGTTTGATGGCCCTGATTGGAAGCACAGCTACTTGGAGATCCCTGACAGAAAGCTGCCCTGTCTCAGTTTACCCCCTTCCTCGGAGCTGGTGGCTTTAGCGGGCAGAGGGAGGGCTACAAGTACGCGTCCGCTGTCCGCTACTCCCGTGCCCCACGAACTGCAGAAACACTATGCTACCAGCTCAAAGTCTAGGCAATTATTACAAAACCCAGGAGAGGCTGGACTATAAACTTCATTAGGCAAGATCAAGGATGGCAGTTTGTTCTTTGATTATATTATTATGGCTACCATTTAGCGACCTTGCTATGCCGATCATACACAGCTTCAATCTTTACAACAATCCTGACAGATGAATCATTTTAGAGATAAGGAAACTAAGGTTCAAAGATGTTAAGATTCTAAAAAACCACGCAGTGCCGGTTACGGGCTTGTTCTAAAATGCTAGCCAAACACTCACACGCTTTTTCTCTGTATTTACTACCTCTGAACTGTTATTGGTGGAAGTGGGGTCCTTGAGGATACCACGAGGGAAAGAATTCCGAGACCAGCATGGGAAGATGGGGCTTCACAGTGAACTTTATTGATGATGCAAAATTAAGGAGTTCCCCCTCCCCCAACTTCCCAATGTCCCATCTCCATCCATCTCGCCATGGAAAGGGTGCAATCTTGTCTTCAGCAGGGCCACCACAGAAGCCAGTGCCCAGAGTTTCTGCTTCCCGTTAGAGTCCAGTCCGGTCCAGCATCCAGCCAGTTTGGCGTGTTTCCAGTTGCAGCCCGTCGCTGTGCTGAGGTAGTCAGGCCCCCTCCCGGGGCCTGCGTGAGGAGTCCCCACGGCCATGGGCCACGTGGCTGCTAAGACCACCACATGGCTATGGAGAGAGAACATGTGAGCACATGGGGGAGCGCAGGTTCTTTGTTCCCCTGGGGTTATAACAGGAGCTTGGCTTTGGGATGGACCGGGTGCTTTCTCAAAATGACCCATCAACTTCCTAAGTTTTTGTGGGCTTTGGATGGGTCCACCCCCACTCGTTAGACTGACAGGCCTCTATGGTCCAGCACCGCCCCCTGTGCCCTGCAACAATCAGGTACCTGAGTGGGGGATGGGAGGAGCATTAAACCCCTTGGAGAAGCAAAGCTGTGATCCCCTGCGGTGTGAAGCTGTAGCTTCCTGGTGAAGCAAATAGGCCTATGCTCTCTGGTCCATTAAGCTCAATGTCTAGTTCCCTTTGCCTCCTTTCCTATGAATAACTAGTTAAATACCAATGGTAAGAGAACTACAACCACATTAGCTTTGGTGTCCAAATTAACCTTTAAGGTTAAATGAATGGAACAAAATCAAATTAATAAATCAGTTCCAAAAGTTGCAAAAGCTGTAAAGTCAATCTAAACTACCAAAAAGTACTTAAATGAAAAAGCGTAACTACTGTACCGGAAGGAAAGTAGCTCCTACCATGAAAATGTTACTGAGGGTAAGTTCAAAAAATTGGTACACTATATTCAAATTTTGAACTGTTGTATCTGAAGAGCCTATATTGCTGATATAAACTATAATTCTCCGTATTAATAGAGGGTTGGAGACTGAAATCAAGATCATGTAACGTGCTCACTTCGGCCAACACTGTAAGAGTTTCAGCTCCTTTCCGAAAAGATTCCTGAGGTATTATTATGCCGCAATTCTGCTCCTGTGCACTTTACCTTTCTGCCCCAAGGAAGGGAGACCTGAAAAAACACACAAGTATGAAACCACTCCATGAAAAACTGATATGCTGGTGGTAGGAGGAAAAAAGTAGTAAAATAAAGGTTTCATAAACCTGAGATTGTTCTGTTTCTGTTAGGTAAAGGGATTTCTTCATATGTTATTTTAATAAAAGGGAATTTCATAGGTAAAAACCAATATTCAAAATTATAAAACAAATAGAATTGTCTGTGTATAATCACTGCATCAAAAATTTTCAAGAGACTCAACAGAAATTCTTTAGTTGACAAGTGTGGTTTGAAGGGGTAATAAAATCTTTTTATGGCTAAAGCAAGAGTCTTATTTCCTATTGGCCCAAAAATAGATGTTTCATTTCCCAAGTAAGTAGGTTCTCCACTGTAAAGAAATATTCTTGTGTAGTTGGTTTCTGTCTTCTTGAACTCTGCTCCAAGTTCAGCCAGCTTTTGATACGTCCTTAACACAAATTTGGAACAATCGTAGGATTCAAACCATGTCTCCGCCCCTTTTTCTGGGCTGGCTTGGACGGTCCATGTCTCATAATAAATTCCTGTTTCATTGTCCTGTTTTACCCACTTTGCCATTTTGTTAAATGTGTTTCCTAGTGAAAAAGAAATAATTTATGTGAATATCAAAGCTAATCATGTTAGTTTTAGGTAAGATGTTCTAACCAAATTAAGGCTATGAATATATATAAATAAACAATAGTTTTTGAATTTCCCAACCTGCATCGCACAAAAGGAATCCAAGCTCAGCCATTTTCATTCCATGTTCAAGGCACAAAGTATTTCTGAATTGTGTATTAGATATAATAGGTATATAAAGAGAAGTCATATACACTAATTCCATAATCATTTAAGCTATAGTCAATAGCAAAATTATACACCTGCAGAAACTGTCTTTATATAAGCTTCTTAACAAATCTTGTATTCAGAGGCAAAAGAGAAAAAGCAAGGAAACCTGTGGAAGCAAAGGGGTGAAAGGGCAAAGGCAGTGCAGGGAGAAGCGAGGAGGGCGAAGCGCGGCGGTTTCCGCCACAGCATGGCAGGCACACAGCCTGGATGGCTCCTGAGGAACAGCTGTGGAGGCCTGGTCTTCTAATGTGGTCAGAGGAAACACTGTGCCCCAGCCACCTTGAATATTCGGCGTGTCTTTTTCTCCTTGTACGTGCAGCTGTTGGGGTTCTGCTTACAACCTTTGTACCCATCACACAAATTCGTCCAGTAAATCCACTAAAACTGGAAATGTGTTTGACCAGGTTTATGGACCGTACGGACTCCTGAGTGGCTACCACTCCCTGCCACCACCTCGCACCACAGCACAGGAGTCTCTAACTGGGAACAGGGCGCTGCACCCTGCGTGGCTGCAATGTCTTCTGGGCACTTACAATGCCCGGGAGGGCCTGGCCCCAACATGTCACTTTGTCACTATGTGTGAACCTTGAAGTCACTCCAACTTGACTCTGTATAATCAGTACTTCATGCTTTACAAGTAAAATGAATAGAGTGGTTGCTTTGATCAAGTTTACAAATTAAAATTGTGGAATAATATAACACATGTTTTCTTAAAACTGGGGATATTGTTCTTAGTGTTCTTCAACTTGGAAAAGCCACTGCTGTAATTAGGAGATAAGAATGCTTCAAAACACTATTTTGCAACCTGAAAAAAAGGTCAATGGATAGGATTAACTGCAAAGCAGATGAACAACTTACAGGATTCAAGTGCTGGCACACCACAAACTGCTTTACAGAGAACAGTTAGCACTTGCCCATATTGTCATCCATTTAGGTCAGAAGGAAGGATTTCAGATAATGAGGTGGGAGGAAATGAAAAATGAGAGCTACAAACTGGCCTAGGATGAAAAAGAGAGTAGCTATTGATTACATAGAGCATTGTTAAAAGAGAAATAGATTTTATATTATTGGGATGCTTTGGAGCAGAGCACTTAGAAAGTAGAAAACATCATGGTATACAGTTGAAAGATTAAAAAACAATATGGTATATAGTTAAAAGATCGCACATTTAAGTGACACCAATTCTATTCCTGGTTCTACATCAAGCTCTATGACTTTAAAAGACAGGTAAATCACGATACCTGGTTGAACCTCAATTCCTTATTTGCAAAAAGAAAAGTATCTTATCCTCCCAAATGAACATACTCCAAAATGTTTAGTAAAGAGCTATACAAGCGGAAAGCATGATAATTTCCTCATGTCCTGCAGTTCATTGAATAATTCTTATCACAAACAGTACTTTTATTATGTTTCCACTCTCGTGGGGAACAACAATTTCTACCATAGAGCTCTGTAAATGACGTGGGCAAGCTCCCTACATCTAAAAGCTGAGGTCGCCTGATCCCCATTCTACAAATGAGGCAATAAGTCAGTGAGATAAAATGTAACCAAGGTCATAGAGCCAGTTTCTGACAGAAGTTCTGCTGAATTCCTTTAACACTAACTAAATGCAACAAATGCAGCAAAACTCCAACTCTTTCAGCAACTTGCAAATACATCTAAAAGAAAAGAAAATCTCAGAGACAAACTATTTAAATTGCTCAAGAAGCCTCACATGCATGTATGTTTGGGGACGCAAGGTAGCGAAGTGGTTAAGAAAATGGCCGATAGTGCTTGCCTGCCACGTTTGGAGTCCCACTTCCTTTATCTCCGTGCCTCAGTTTCTCCATTTGTAAAGTGGGGAAAATAACAGCAACGATCTCAGCGGGCTGCTGCGATGACAAGTGTTATGACACACACAGAGCACTTGAAACACTGCCGGGCCCAGAGAGGCCCACTGAGTGGGGGCTACTATTACTCCTCAGCATAAAAGCATTTAATGTGTCATCACGAAAAGCCTCTTTTCAGATACAGTTAACAGGTCCATTAATCAATTATTTTTTTTAGGCATTTTATGTATTTCCCTCTATTATTTAAGAAGGCCAATTAAATTGTGCAAAGTGTTTTGATCATTTCATTCATTTTTACCATTGGAACAGAGGGGATAAGCTACTCATCACCACCTACAGGGGAAGTTTCACATGCGTAATAGTTTGGGCCAAAGGTTGTTGGTTCCAGAAGTACATTTTATAAATAGACCCTTATAACGTAGAACAGCAATTTTCAACCTTTTCATCTCACGGCACACATAAACTAATTACTAAAATTCTGTGGCACACCAAAATACTTAGATTTTGCCGATCTGACAAAAAAAAATAGGTATAATTTTGATTCATTCACACCAGATGGCTATTGTTGTGTTGACTGTTGTCATTTTTTTATTTGACAATCTAAGGGAAGAGGTCAGTGCCCTCGACTAACTTCTGGTATTGCATGTTTTAAAAATTCTTGCAGCATACCAGCTGAAAATGGCTGAGTAGAACGTTACTGAAATGACTCAAAGAAAATCATTTCTATCATTTAGATATTGATGCAATCAGAAAATACTGCTGCATTTTTCACACTTACCTGATATGGTTGCTACTTGAACTAACGTCCCATTTTCCTTCCAGTGAATGTCATCGATTCCTTCAAAAAAACAGGCAGCTCCTTGGTTACACCAGAATGGAGCATTCATTTCAGGTCGCAGGTGGGGAAATGTGCAGTTTCCAAGCTGGAAAAGTTCATACCATTCCATTGTGTAGTTCTTGCCAGTTGAAGTACTTCTGAATCCAATGGCATCGTGCATAATTTTCTGTGTAAAGATCATACAAATATACAAGTATTTGTGAAGCAACCACTGCTCTAGGAACCAGAAGAAGATGTGATGGACCACAACCGCAAATTAAGTAGAACAACTGTTCAGCTGTTCCTCCCACGTTGCCATTCTCCTGTCTACTCTGGCTCCTCACATTCCGGGCCCGCGTCCACTCTGGTTGTCCACTGCACCTCATCTCAGAGAGGAAGGACGTAAGCTATGTGGACATGGTCCTAACTGCCTTACGGCTTAGGATGAGTAAGAAAAGCCTCCACGCCACAGCCTCAGGAAGGAAGACCATGTATCTCTCAGGGGACGAGAGGCTCAAATGGTGAGCTGGCTTCGGAAAAGTCCATTCAACGGGTCCCGGAAATGAAGTATTTCCTGCCTGCTCTGCCCCTTCCTCCGCGCCTCCTCCCTTCTTACTTTCCAGGAGCCGGGTACAGGAACTGGGTTGGAATTCAAAGTATTAAAAAGGATGAGAGCAAGTGCATTTGTTATTAACAGGGTCACAAAACCTGATATATTTTTTTCACTACCCATTTTAAATATACTAGGAAGAAAACCAATAAACATGATCTAAAATATGCCCTCAAATCAATTTAGTAATGGTGCCATTTAACTAACTAAACTTATAAGGTCAAGCTGCATCCTTACCAAGTGTCCCAGGAGGTCTCCATATTTAAATTCCCACACTGGGGCTTGTAGCCGAAAGACTTCGATGACGTCATCGTCCTTCATTACTGGGATAGGTGAGCCAGTTGGACAGAAAGTATATTTGGCCTGACAGTAAGGATCCGGTGCCGGACGGAAGGAAAAGCGTCTAATAAACAAAAGAGACCATCAACTTAGGATGTTTCTTCTTGCACATTTTAAAACCCAAATTTTAATTTCACTGTCAGTAACATTTTTAGAGAAAACAGTCAGAGCTCAGGCCACAGCATGTAAATATATATGTTATTTGTTATCCTGTGAACAAATGCCAGTGATGTCTTTAACAGCAAATGATATACTAAAAGCACTTCAGTAACAGCATGCTTCCCAGCTCCCACTGTGAGAATTTTGAAGATGGGACCATGTCCTCAAAATGTTTATACTCAAAAATGTTTATAGCTCCAGATCTTATTTAGTAAACAAACATTTACTGAATAGAGGAATAGTTTTCAAAGTAATCCATGTGCTAAGATTATTCAAAAACAATTATGATTAAAGAGAATGTTTTCTATTTTCTTAAGAATTAACCAATATTCCTTAAACTACTATTTATTGAGGATCTACTATGTGTAGGACACTACCCTAGGAAAGAGGGAAACAAAAATTATAATGTTGTTTCCTACCTCAAACACTTTTGGGCGGGGGCTGGGAAGACATTAAACAACGAAGCGTAGTGTGGTATTTACTAAACCAAAGAAATATACAAAGACCTATGAACACAATAGAGGGAGAAATCATTTTTACCTGTGTGGTAGGGGTGAGAGGCGCAAAGAGAGATAAAGACCCGGCCTAGGTTTTTAAGATTCTTTTGAAGGTTAGGGCAGAAGAGAGAGGAAACATGAAGTATTTGTAAGACAAGCACAACTCGCTGGAAGAGTCTCAGGCAAGTAAATTAGACTGACCTTCAGGCTTTCATGCAGAAGCCCTGAGAGGAGAGGTGGGTAGCCACACCCCTCGAGCCCTACAGCTGGGCGGGCTGAGCCCCAGGTACTTAAAGGTTTGTAGTAGTAGATCTGATACAACTAAATTTGCCACAAAATAAACTTTATTTTATAAATTAAAAGAGAGTGAGGACAGAGGCCAAGCTGAAGCTGAGAAGGCAGTCTTAGGAAGTAACTTCAATAATACAACAAAAAAGAGAGCGGCCCAAGAAGGCCTCGGCAATGGGACTACAGCCAAATTCAGCTCAACCTTTGCTGGTCCCCTTCCATAGAAGACACTGGCAGAGAAAGATGACAGAGAAAGAAGGTATCTGTATGTGTCCTGTAAGAATCTGAGATCCCTAAGTTTCTAGCTAGATCCGCTGTTTTACTATCCTAACGCATCAAAAGAATTCCTATTTTAAGTTAAAATCTTGATGTTAGCCAAAAATAGTAACAATCCTCACGAAAGTTTTTAAGATTTACATGTAGCTACATGTGCGATAGGTGCTTACCTGGTTTAAACAAATGTATAACTATGCATATTTCACGTGCCCACAGCAAAACCTATTTTAAGTCACAGGTACTTGCAGACACATAGTTCAAGTGTGAACGTAATAAATTTTCTTATATTCAGTTGAGGGTATTAGACGGCGGCATATACTTAGTATTTAAAACTTTTAAACAAACATAAGACGTCATGCTCAATACCCTGCCCTTAAGTCAAAGTGGTTTTAGATTTACACTTTCCTCCTTGTTTTACTAAATATTCAACTTTTATTTCTTATGATCATTTTATTAACATCTCCCAGAGAGCCAGCGTCAATCCCAACTTCTTCCATGTGTATTAAGCATAGCAAAAGGTGGTGCAACTGGTGAGCAGAATACACTAATATCCACGTTTGACAACAGCTGGCATTTACTAGATTTAATCCTCATAACACCCTAGGGAAATGCTACTACTATTCCTGCTTTCTGACTTAGGACATGTGGACACAGAGATACTGAGTAACCTTCCCAAGATCGCACAGTTGGTCATGGTGGAGCTTGATCTGCCGCAGTTAGAATCGGGAACCCGCTCTTGACCATAGGCAATCCTGCCTCCCAGGTCACTATTTTGTCATCCAAAATAGTTGTGCGTTTTCAAAATTTGCTCGCCTTTCCCATGCCTGATGGTGTCACCATGTTTTCTTTCTGTTTAGGCATCTGACAATAGCAGATCAAGTAAACACTCTTCTAGGTCAAAAGCTGGAATCAGCTTCACAGTTTTGCGGTTTCCGCCCTCGACTTCTGACCTAGCGCCCCACCTCCACGCTGAAGATCGCGGACAAAGTCAACAACCTTCAGGGTTTGCCTGGGACCCAGGGAGTCTGGAATGCCCGCATCGTAGGGCTTATAGTGCTATATAAAAAACCGGTAAGTCCCGGCGAACCAAGCTGTAAATTCTGCCAGAAGTTAAGCACTTCTGATAAATAATGACGGGGCATGACGTCATGAAAGCGAAATTAAAAGCTTCCCTGCACTATTGAGGGTCTAAAAATCACGCGATAAAACAGCATCACTCCCCTTGTCTTTGGCAATTCAGGTCAGTCTTGGGGCTCTCCCTCGTCACTGGCTCAAGTGTCCCGAGGAAGAGTCCCCAGAACTGAACGCAACAAGCAGGGGCCACTCCTGAGCTGTCAACTTCGTTCTACACCACGCCCTAGGTGTCGCCTAACACCGCCTCCGTACAGCCGCTGACCGGGACGCCAAGGCCCGAACAGGCGCGGGTTCCCCCCCAAAACCTCCCGGGCCCCGCAGATCCCGGCCGTGCGCGCTCCCGCGCGTCCAGCCGCGCGCGGCCGGGCGCACTCACTTGTAGGGTACAGGCCACTGGTGCTGGGAGTGCACGCCCGCGGCTGCCGCCTGCCACAGCATCGCCAGGGCCCAGAGCCAGGGCGCGCGCCCCAGGACTGTGCCCGCGCCATGCTGCCCCCCGACCCCGGGGCCAGTGTTCCCCGCCTGCGCCATGCAACTCCTCCCTGTGCTTCCGGAGCCACCCGAGTTCCGCGACGGCCGAGGGCCTGCGAGCTGAGCATGCGCAGAGCCACTCCCCCGTCCCACGCGAACTGGGGAGTCCGGCCCGATTGGGCCGCCGGCCGCCGCCCTTGCCCTTTGCCTGTTGTACAGGCCGAAGACCCCGTCGCCCTGGTGGCCGAAGCCTTTGTGAATGTGGCAGCGGGTCTCTGCGCCGTCCTTCGTCTTTTCTCCCCAGTTCCCTACGCAGTGGCGGCTTCCAAACCTCGGACCAGTTAGGCGCTTGGTAGGTCCGGCCCCCAGCACGCTGCACGGGTCATGGGGCCTATTCTTTCTCTAACTCGTTGGTGCTGAGATCTCCTGACCTCACGTCTCAGTGTAAAGGTCACCGGGGGTTGTTTGGAGCTTTTTCTATCCTCCCCTAGCAACAGCCACGAAAACCAAACCCAACGAAGCCAGATGAACAAACCAACCCAGCTTTGGGCTGCTGTGTACCATTGTTCTCCTACCCCGCCCCACAGGGCCCAGGCTAGGTGACAACAAACATTTGAGTGAAGGAGAATCTTTATTTAGGGTGGTGGATGCAAGGAGGAAGATAATTTTGAGGCACTGACTTGCCTTCACATGACCTACCCAGTGATAAAAATGGCCAACACTAACAACACATAGCCCAGGCTACTACTTGAAGCGCTATGTATGTAATCTACCTGCACACCTCCCGCTCAGATGTTTTTCCCTGTTTGGATCTACCTCTTAAATAAGGAAGAAAATCCTCTGTGACCTGCTTTTCTTTGACCCTTGAACCACCCCAAGAAAACAATGAGATCAACCGCCCTGCTTTATGGCCTGCCCTACTGTTATCACAGATGCTGATTGATGACTGTAAATAGAACCTTAAGTACATTGTGTCTTACAGTCACTTGCTTTACAAGAAAGCAGCAGCATGCTGAGCACTTAGACCAGGGCCTTCCAATGCCTTTACTTCACCCACAACACAACTAAACCATCGTAATACTTGTAAGTATATAATAAGCCAGGTGGCTATAATGGCCAGAGTTGACCACCATGACCCACGGGAGTTTGGGGTTGGGAGCATCAGCGGCTTGCCTAGGCTTGCCAGGCCTTCTGAGGGCTGACGGGGAGCAGCTCTGACTCCCTTTGTTACTCCCGCGCCCCTGGCCAAGCACCATTGCCCAAAGGCTGTACCAGGTTGGGGAGTTCTGTGGAGGTTCAGGCAGGGCCCCATTTTAAGAACTACTTATCTGAGCATTTAGGTGGTTCCAGTTCTAGCCCTTCTCCAAATACCGCCCTGGCTAAACTGGGCTCTCTAAAGACCCACCCAAGAGGAGAGGGAACAAATCCTAGCCATTAAAGCCGCAACGTGATGTCAAATTTGAAGGCCACCTGCGGGATCCCATGTGGACTAGCACTTGAAGATGGCTTAAAAACTAATTAAAAGAAACAGTTCTCCAAAGCAGCATTGTGCAAATAATGGGACCATACATTAGACAGTCACAGTGGAACTTCCAGTCCTGCTCAGGACCTCTCAGAGCCACAAAAGGAAGTTTCTTGCTGACCATGGTTGGCGGTGGGGATTTTCCGTCTTCGATCTGCAGCTCTAATGTTAAGAAAGCGTTTCCTCACGTCAGCTCTAACTTAGCTTCTTACTAGCTGCCATCTGCTCTGGGCTGGTTCTGCCTTCTGTTCCTCTTGGCTGTGAGCCCAGCACCCCAAGATAAAGATGCGTGTAGAGTACTGTTGCCTGATCCCTCACTGTGCTGGTTACTTCTCTCTGCTCTGTGGCTGTTAAACCTAGAGGGCCCATTGAAATGGAGAGTCCTTACGACTTTGATGCTTTACAACTCTACTTTGTCACTGTGTTTGGGAAGAAATACTGTTTTGCAACTGGTTTTTGTCTGCCTTTTCTTCCAGACTCATGAATGGCTGTCCAAGCTAATTTTTGCTTTCTCGCTTGTAATGTGATGGTTCTAAATTATTCTTGCAGACATTTAAAAAGCAGCCTGAGAAGGCATTTCACAAGGCTGCCAAAGAGGTCCACAGAACACAAAGAAAGGTTTAGAGCCTGTTCCCTGGATACCCTAATTTTCTGCACCAATTTTAACGCAAGAGGTTAACAATATCTTGATGTTAATCAAAACATTGACACCTTCCCCCGACTCCAAAAGGCCTATGAGACAAGTTTAAACAAATACATCAACTATATATCAGTCCTCTTTTCAGATTTTTATTGGCAGTTTCACATACCAACAGCATAATTTATATTAGGTCAAAGATATTTTAAAGAGTAATTTAAGTGTGAATTTAATAAAATTAAAAATTATAACATTCCCTTAAAGGAATTAGAAGGGGTATCTATTATATATACAATACTTTAAAACAAACAACCAACTCTGGAACTATAGTTAACATCTCACCGTACTCCTAAATCAAGTAATTTTTTATTTATACTCTTTTACTTATATGAACTCTCTTAAATCAGTCTTTACAATTTTGTATGTATTTATTGAATATATAGGGATGGGCAAAGGTAGGTTTATATTTGCATTGTGACATTCTTTTGAATTAATAAAGCTATTATAATAATCATAACCTGCATGTCTTTTTCCGTACGAATAACTATAAATCTACTTTAGCCTAAATCTGTATTTTTTACAGCACATTCTTAAGAAAACCAGAATGATAACTTTTTCTTTTTTTCATGTATCTCAAACAAAATGAAGAAGTGCCTACTGTTCAGTAAGAGGAAATACACCAGTATCTAGGTTTTGACACAGCTGACATTTACTATATTTAATCCTCCCAACAACCCTATGAAAAAGATTGCTTCCTACCTTCAAACTGAGGAAATGTAGGCACAGATATTGAGTAACTTTCCCAACAGCATACGAGGTATATGAGGTCTATTCAGAAAAAGCCCAGGCATTGTTAATGTAATGAAATGGTTTGCATGACATTGATGTAACCTGGCAGCCAAGGACAGTGGGTTGGAATTCACATGGGTAAACAATGACAACTTCACTGTACTAGTCAGTGGGGGCAGTAGACACCAATGAGTGGGCATGTGTACTGTGTGGCTGTTGCATTCAAAATGACTGAGCAAGTAGAGCAATGAATCTGCATCAAATTTTGTGTTAAGCTTGAACATTCTTCCCTGGAAACTATTCTGATGCTTCAGAAGGCCATAGCAATCGACAGCTGCTGATTGGCAGCCTCATCATGACAACATGCCTGCTCATGCATCATGTCTCATGCAGAGTTTTTGGTGAAACATCAAATCACACAGGTGACTCAACCCCCCGCAACAGCCCAGATTTGGCACCCTGCAGCTTCTGGCTTTTCCCAAAACTAAAATCACCTTTGAAAGGGAAGAGATTTCAGACCTTTGATGATATTCAGGAAAATAGGACAGGGCAGCCGACGGCGATTGGGACAACTGTGTGAATTCCCAAGGTGCCTGCTTTGAAGGGGACTGAGCCGTCATTGTCCTATGTACAATGTTTCTTGTATCTTATATCTTCTTCAATAAATGCCTCTTTTTCATATTACATGGCTGGATACTTTCTGGAGAGACCATGTAGATCCCCAGCAGTCAGACCCAGAACCTACTTCTCAGGTTCACCGTTACTTTTCTCCTTCTCTTACCCATCCACTTCCTCCCCACCATCCTTCCCCTTCCTCTCTCCCCTTCTCTCCCCCTCCCCTCATCGAAGAATTGGGTGGACACATATGTGTGTTCACAAGCAGCGGACCTTTTTCCTGCCCCATGTTTATACCAGTTTATTTCGTCTTTCTAAGTGTGGGCCTCACTGGCAGCCATGTAAATACCTTCCGGTTCAAGAGTTGGAATTCTCCTTGTGGGTTTCCAATTTTTCATCCACTACTTATTGGGATTTTAACTCAGAGCCCCAAGGTTGTGAGTTTTATCTCCCATATGCTTTAGGTCAGTGGCTGCCAACCCTGACAACCAACAGACGCACCAGGGGGAGATTTTATGACGCCCTAATGTGCATGCTCATGCTTCACTCACATGTAGCTGGTGTGTTTGGGCCTCAGGCAACTCAAGGGTAGCCAGGGTTGAAAATCACTACTTTAGAAAGGTTCCAAGGGCATAGTTCATTAACTCTCTCATGTTTTTGATAACTGTATGCTCTGATCTATGAAAATGATTCCTCTCTTCAACCTCCTTGAAAAGCATATATATATACTGTGTATGATATACAAGACGTATATATGTTTTACATATGCGTGTGTGTGTGTCTATTTGGAAACCAACTTCTTTCTGCTTTTTTTAGGAAGCTGATTTATAGCTCTATTTTTTTTCCTCTAGAAGTCCCCTACAATATCTTCCTGGAGACTGAGCTACAATATGTATTTGCTGTTGGTGCTGGATCTGAAGGCATATAGAATCACCTAGTGGTGTTCTGACTTTCCTTTCTGGCTCAGGCTCTGAGATTGACTTGCTTGATTGTTTTCATATAGGTAATGACATCATTTGTTTCTATTTCTATTTTTTGAAGGTGAAGAGACTTGCTGCTAATGCTGAGCAGATGCACATGGTTAGTCACTTGAAAAGGAGCCCAGCAGAGGAGAGGAGCAATGTGCTGGAGGAAAGGGCCAGCAGAGCCCCTGGCGACCCGCAGGATTTGGCAGACCTGAACCTTGGTGAGCTTGCTGCTGCCATTGTGCCTGGCGAGTCAGCTGAAACCATGAGGCCAACTGTTCATTTTAGCTAATGCTCACTGACTCCAAAATCCTCTTCCTGAAAGGGTAGTGCAGGCTCAGCTCCCATTTTGAACCCTCTGAGTCAGGATCAGGTCTCCGGTTCTCAAACTCCGTTGCACATGAGAATCACTCAGGGAGTTTTTAAAAATTTCCAGTGCTTGGGTTGCACCTGAGGCCAGTAGCATCAGACTTTCTGGGGGTGGAAACAGGCGTTAGTATTTCTGATGCCCCCAGATGATCCTACTGCTCAGTTAAGTT